CTAATTATCATAACCGTTGGAGACATGTATGTTTGTATGTGTATGTGTGAAACTATGTATACATACTGACATGATTTCATTTCGATTATCAATGACTGTGTACAACAATGTGTGATATGTTTCAATATATATATGAATGAATGAATGAATGAATGAATGAATGAATGAATGAATGAATGAATGAATGAATGAATGAATGAGTGAATGAATCATAATAATTTGCATAACGTTTCTTTAAAGATATTACTTAGGATTTTGTAAATTTTAGTAATAAATCATTTTATCGATACACTTTGTTGAATAATAATCTATGCACTGTAATCATGGTCTTTGTTGTTGAATAGGTCTAAAAAAGAAACGACATTTTACTTACCTTTACAATAATAATTAAACTGTACATTCAGATATTCACTGTGGTTTAAACCCTTTATTTATACTCCTTCCCCTGCGCATTATTGGACAATTATTCACACCTTCCATTTCTACACTCCTCAAACTTGTCCCCCAATAGCATTAATAGTTTAAAAGAAGGTATAATCGTTTGTGATTGTTAGACACTGATCATCACTCAGCGATCAGTAAATGAAGAATAATTGACGTCTTCCGCCTATTTCTAATTGATTTGCAATTTGATCACCATGAAAATATAACAGATTACTTACTATATTCTTTTCAAAAAATACCATTAATCACGAAACTGTCTACGTGTTACACGTTCAGTGTTGATAGCCGTGTTATTTTATCACTGTTGCTGATGATAATCACACTATCAGTAGTTTAGATTCATGTTTAGATGTGGCTAAAGACAGAGATAATTTGTTTCACAACATGCTATATCTTCATATATTTGGGCGAACAATAGTGTGCACAAAGACATGTTGAGCACATATTTCGATTATAATTAAACCAATTTTTACATAGGTTTATGGTCATACCCTTAAAATTTATCGTTAGGGATCAAGGAAAATGTCACTGTTATTTTAATGTCATCTGATGACCCTTAACTAACCTGAAACCTAGGTCAAGTAGTGTTTTTGTTGAGTATCTTTAACCAACAAACATAAGTTGTGCCTAAAATGATATTTTCTGAGCATCCTATCTGATCAAACAGCAAATTATATCAATGAAATTCGTCATCTGACTTTTACTAATAACAAAATGCATATATCTCTAGGCTGACGAATCTTAAATAAGACGAAACGCGAGTCCTGAAATCTGCTACTAACCATATTCGATCTATTCTATATATGCCTAGTTTGAATTAAGTACACGAAATGTAACTTCATAATATCCTCGTCTCTCTTTTTCCTAACCATAAAAAGTAACTTACCACCAATAAACTAGTATCGATTGATTCATTAACTGTAAAATCTATTTCACTATCCAACTACCATCATTATGAGAGTCATATTTAAAACATCCTCTTTTTAAGCTCAAATTATATGTTCTTTTCAATATTTTGAATTGACATATTTCGAAGCGGGGGTAATTATATTCTATTGGTTTAAGTACAAGATTTATGTTAGTTATACTTACTAACATCATTATAAGATGTCCACAACAACAAGAAAACAAAACAAAATGTCATAATAGGACAAAACGGTCGTCCAGTACAGCCACTATCAGGGAATTCCTACTCACTGCCTTCTCGTAGCGGGGGTGATGTTTACGAAATTGAGACGAAAAGCGAATGTCTGGTACTTTAAACGGGTTGGTGCATATGGAGGATTCACCTAAGGGAGTTGGAAAATCTTGATTTCAAACCAATGGTGCACATGGGTTCCAGGATCCTGAAGGAACAAATGGAGTAAGAACTTATTGTTGGTCACGGGCTACCATGGGACTGCATCTCCTAACGCTGCTTTACTGCCTTGTGGATTAGCCCCTTAGGCCGAAGGCTCCGGGTATGGCTCCCTTAGAGAACCACCTGCTTCGGTCTCGGAACCCAGGGAGTATCACAGCCCACACACAAATCAAGTGACTTGTGCGGCGGATATCTATTTGGTGCCTCTTTGTACCAATATTTATGTGTTCAAATAAATAAATAAATACCCCCCCCCAGTTACTCAAGCATTCACTCGGTACAGTTTAATCAAGAAAAGAGTTAGCTGAAGTTCCCTTACATCATTAGTACAACAAAATGAAAGTAAAAAAGTGAGTAACAAAGGAGATGAAATAGAATTTAATTGTACTGGTAATAAGAAAGACTAGGTATTGAGAATATAATTCAAATTAACAGAATGGAAATGTATAAATAATGAAAGACTTAAGCTCAAGATCTAAGTAAAAATAAAGAGTAAATGCATCTAGGTCACCGTGAATGATTTATTCCAAATCTCCGACTGCTGATCATGGTTATCATGAGGACTAGTGTAGATCAATCATTCTAACTATGGTTCAAATCTTTTGTTTAAAATTATTTATTTTTCTCATTACCGATAGCTACTGAGAAGTTTTAAACAAAAATAAGAAAGTAGTACTCAAGTACTCCTTGAATCTCAATATATCACTAATTTAATTAAATTAATTAATTCTAAAGATTTGAACCATAGTTAGAATGATTGATCTACACTAGTCCTCATGATAACCATGATCAGCAGTCGGAGATTTGGAATAAATCATTCACGGTGACCTAGATGCATTTACTCTTTATTTTTACTTAGATCTTGAGCTTAAGTCTTTCATTATTTATACATTTCCATTCTGTTAATTTGAATTATATTCTCAATACCTAGTCTTTCTTATTACCAGTACAATTAAATTCTATTTCATCTCCTTTGTTACTCACTTTTTTACTTTCATTTTGTTGTACTAATGATGTAAGGGAACTTCAGCTAACTCTTTTCTTGATTAAACTGTACCGAGTGAATGCTTGAGTAACTGGGGGGGGGGGTATTTATTTATTTATTTGAACACATAAATATTGGTACAAAGAGGCACCAAATAGATATCCGCCGCACAAGTCACTTGATTTGTGTGTGGGCTGTGATACTCCCTGGGTTCCGAGACCGAAGCAGGTGGTTCTCTAAGGGAGCCATACCCGGAGCCTTCGGCCTAAGGGGCTAATCCACAAGGCAGTAAAGCAGCGTTAGGAGATGCAGTCCCATGGTAGCCCGTGACCAACAATAAGTTCTTACTCCATTTGTTCCTTCAGGATCCTGGAACCCATGTGCACCATTGGTTTGAAATCAAGATTTTCCAACTCCCTTAGGTGAATCCTCCATATGCACCAACCCGTTTAAAGTACCAGACATTCGCTTTTCGTCTCAATTTCGTAAACATCACCCCCGCTACGAGAAGGCAGTGAGTAGGAATTCCCTGATAGTGGCTGTATACGTGTAGCCATATGAGAGCATTTCGACAGGGAGAGCTAACTCTCCTCATCCTTGGCCGTACCAGGGCATTTGCGGGCTCTCTTGGCAGGTTTCCCAGGTTGTATAGGTAAACTGGGCGGACAATTGTTAATTTTATTATTGTTGAGTTCTTTGAGATGGACAGTTTACTTGTAGAGCCTACATTTTCAATCTGGACAAGATCATTAACGCTTATTACATGAAGTTCCACAATTAAACTATCCAGCTCGGAAAGATTAATAGCATCGGTTACATTTGCCTAAACAGGACATTTTCTCCATCATAATTGTTAATGTATCAAATTACGGGATTTATTTTTATTTATACACTGCTAACGGATTTAGTTGTATTAATGTATTCGTTCTAATTAACACTGCTTAGATGGTCTGTTCCATACATACAACTGAAGAGTTTATAAAGTTAGCCGTGAAAATCTGTATTTGGTTTTGTTTGTCTTGTAGTCAGATTAATTAGCTTTTCACTCTATTTGTACGTTTCTTCACCAAATTTGACTCCAACTTTGGATTTGTATTAACTGACGAATAATGGTGATTCTGAATTATTATATTTCATTGTACAGATTTAGTTTTTAACCTTCGGCTCATATTTCGGGTATGATGGCTGGTGGAACTATTGAATGGTTCAAATCAAAATAGGTGGAGTAAACTATGAACTGCGACTTAATAACTAAAATCTGAACGCTTTAATTATTGAATCATTGCTCTCAGCTAGATTTGATCAATTCAAGTATGATCAATGATAGTCAAGCATATGTAATTAAGATTGTAATCAGGCGGCCGAGTTGTGCAGAAAATTCCAGTCTCAAGAGACATTGGTTATTTGAAATATGATACAATCATTCTGAACAATAAATATAACATTAAGCGTGTACAAGTTTTGAATTATGAGGTGATCAGGGATCAAGTACACTGTCAGAAGCACGATCAAAGAGTAATCTCAGCCTTAAAGTAAGTGGATACTAAAATAAAGTTATATCAATTACCACCTGTAACTAGAAAACAGAGTACGACTATATCAAGAGAGATTATCAAAGAATAACGCTTTATTTATACGAATATTCGTCAAGATTAGAACGAATGGTTTGACAGTAATTGAGCGCCGAGTATAGAGAAGTCATTATATGTGAAAATTATCAAAGTCTTTGATAATTTTGATTTTGATTATGACCCTGAAGAATTCCAGACAAGTTAGCTGGACGAAACGTTGGAATTAATTATATTTCAGTCGCTGAGAATATTTCAAATATAATTTTCACATATAATAACGCTTTATGTTTCGAGGAATATCGTTTAAGACAGAAAAACCTAGTTCAACTAAATTTTAACAATGAATTGAAGGAATAAAACTAACAGGAAGCACTGATACAAATATTTTAATGAACTAGACAACTGAAATAAAAGTACCTTCATCTATAACAGGCAACTCTTTGCAATCATGTCATACTTGGTGGAACATCAAATGTTTGCAAATAACTCAAACTACTGAGTACGATTAAGTAGTATATTTTAAATACAAAGTCAAAGTGTGTGTAAAACGTAAGACAAACTTCACATATGTATGACTATTTCATTATCGAATATATGATCGTCGTTTTATTTTTTATTCTCTCCTACTTATTCTTTCCAGTTTAACTCTTAAAAATTGTCCAACACGGTATTATTCAGAGAGAATCAATCGGACAACAACGAATAGTCATTCTAATGATCAAATTACATCTATAGAAATCAATCCATCCAGTGCACCCTTCATTAATAGTCAAGAGGTAATTATTATGTCTGATAACAAGAATCATAAAAATCCAGTCAATGAATTACCATCATCAACAACAACGACTACAACAGGGAATGTACAACATCATCGTCATCATCAACAACAACAAATATATCAAGTTACAAGTCAGCCGCCTCCACCGATTCAGCAGCACCCACAGCAATTTACGTCAGGTTATGTAAAAAACAAGTCTAATTCACTTAATATTAATGTTAAACAGGTAAAAAAACGTCAAAAAATTTCTCAAGTTGGGAATATCTGTCATGTGTTAAAGTGGATGATGATATTTATGATATTGTTTCTTACTTAGTTGTATCTTAACTTTTCTCTTCCACTTTTCAATAAAGTTGGTTATTTATTAGAAGTGAAATTCAGAATGCATATTCCATCCTATATGTGATTCGTCAGTTGGATGTATCTGGATCTCAGTGTTAATGTTTTTATTCAAAATAGAACCTGGTATCTTTATGTCCAACGTCCAACATTTTATCCATAAAAACGAGAGTACATTCATCTAACGAGTCCCAAGTAAAATCAAACGTATATCCTGGATTTCATTGTTATCCACGGATCAACTATACTAAATCTCGTGACTGTATGATTATATCAGTACAATCCACCCAGGATTTCAGAACATAATTATCATTTGAAATCCCTAACGTTAATCAGTAAGATAAAAAAGAAACGCTTCGTAAACCACTCTTCCAGTTCTTTTTTATCTACTCATCGAACGAAATAAACTGTTACCCTGTTAAACGATTAATCAAACTGAGGTTATCCAGATTTAAAAATAATGTTGTTATATCTAGAACTTAGATTCTTTGTTACACGGCGTACAACTTGAGCACTCAAACGCTAGAACCCTCCAAGTAGCAAATGCGAAGACAGAAGACGAGTGAAAAGGAATGCTATTCCAAACAGTGTCAAATATAGTACAAAATTCTCAGGTATTTCTAGTTCTTAGTAAAAACAAAATCAGCATTATAGTCATCCAATCCGCATACAGTGGTTTTTAGCATTTGTCCAATAGGGAAGCTACATGTAGAGATTCTGGAATATTCTTGCAAAGATGATTGGATGGAACATTTTCGGCTCTTTCTGAGCTTCTTTGAACTTCCTTGAGTTCACCCGTGGGACGTCCTTATAAATGTAGTACTGAATATTTTCACACCCTCATTTAGGTTATCCATAAAAACCTTGGAAGATCTTCAGAAGTTAAACACCATAAAACTGTCAAGTTGTTTTGTGTTTTCTTTTAATTCACTTTATCACTAGTTATTCACACAGTTAATTGTTGATTGGAAAGTTCAAAAAACCTTTAACTTATCAACATAGAACGCAGTTGATAATCCTCTTGGTCTCTCAACATAATACTTATATCAGAAGGGTTTTTGTGGATATTATAGTAATTTCAACGGTTGAGATCATGAGTCAATTGAAGCTAGACCACCATGGAAAAACATGAAGCATTGGACGCCCATTTCGTCGTATTATGGAACTCCTCAGCAGTGCGCATCTATGATCTCGCCTCGCGAGATTCGAAACCAGTACCTATCAGTCTTGCGCGCTAGCACAGGACATCAAGTGGATACACTTAAATCCTTCAAGGTGATTAATAAACAGTCAAACTTCAGTCTTCTGAAATTCGCTGAAGCCATAGCGATCAAATGGCTTTAAATGGGACAGTTATATCTTCAGATAGTATAGCATTACTTGAGTTTAACTGTTTGTCGACAGTATTTACAAAAGTAACAGTAGTTATCTGGTCTGAAGTTAGTGTTGGAATTTCGAATATATATGGCTTAGGTTATCTATAACGTGAATAGTGTTGAATAAGTTTACTATATCAAGCATCTTCGTTCATTTATTGCATAAGTGATGGATATTAAAGTTCCACTGAAGATATCATTTCAAGTTCTAACGCACACTATATTTGTATTTTTGATGTTGAGCTGTGTGCGCTACATTGAAATGTTCATAACAGACAGCTGAAGATAGCTTTACACACTTCGAATGAAATCTTTGGTAATAACTAAACTACAGTATATCAGTTTGTGATTCAAACTATGAAAATTCTATAATGTCCACAAAGTTTCTCTATACTAATATTAATCATCTGGACATTAGAGACTAGCTTCAAGATACAATTCCTGAAGTTATAATGGCAAGGTTTAACCAGTGGAGTTCAACCATATTGGGTGTAAGACAGTTATCCAATGCAGTCGATGGATTAGAATTGTGTAATATATATATATATATATATATATATATATATATATATATATATATATATATATATGCAATCGGGTCCAGGGATTGGACGTTCATATACAAGATTAAAGGTCCCGAGTTCGATTCCTGGACTCGGGGTAGTGGATGCACACCGTCATTCAGTGCTTTGCAATTCTCAATGATAATCTAGCTAAGATCAGTTCATGATTTAAACTATGAAAATTCAACAATCTTCACAAATCCCCTTATACAAACTCCAGTATATATCATTCACCTACTAAATGTATGTGAAAACTGGAGAAATTACTAGATATACCATACTTATTAAACATTTAAAACGTTCTGTATAACCTCAGTCATTTTCAATAATAAATTGTTCAACTCTTTTTATGGTCTATTATCATTACTGTTATTATTCTATTGCCTTTTTATGTACACAGAATACTTCAGATAAACTGAAATTGGTCGATTCAAGACGTACAACACCGAGACAATTGAAACAATATCAATTAAAACGTAATCAACCAATTACTCATTCATCATTGACTACTAGTACTGAGTCACCACCCTCAACAACAGCAACAATGATTTCACCAGAATTATATCAACCAAAATATACAATTGCATTAAATCATTCCCATTTAGAAAAAGCAAAAACTATCAATTCACCTGAAAATTTTCATAATCCCATGGAAAAATCAACATTTCCTCAACAAATGACCTCTAGTGATTTAGCTACATCATTTATTCGTACGGCAAGTTTACATTTAAAATCGACACTATCACGATTGAAACGTTCGAATAGTGGACATTCAAATAAGCCATCAGATGCAATAACTACGACTACTATTCATACTGACGTTTTGCCTTCGGTTAAAACAATTGATGTTAATGAGGTAGCAATGCGTCATAGTTCTCTTCCTTTTGATAATAATGATAAATCTATAAAACTAATTGATGAAATCAATGGAAATACGAAGCAATTGTATAAAGAATTAAATACTACTACTACTACTGAGAAAAATAATAGTAATTTATCTTCATCATCACCTGGATGTACAAAATGGTCTACACGTTTAGGTCCTCCACCATCCCCATGTAAAACGACAGATATTAATACTGCTGTCATATATCCTAAATGTTGTATATCGACAACATTCCATGGAACTAACACATCTGAGATAGTAGTCACAACGACAATAAATTCTACACAACTACCATTAAATATTTTAAATCATAGTAAGAAAAATGTTTTAATTTTGAAAAATACAACAACGATGACTACTACTACTACTAACTCTGTCAATATAAGTAGTGTATCCCAAGTATTGCCTGAAAATGAACGGAATGAATTGAATTTATCATTAACTGGTGGTGATGATTGTGCTGATGTTGGAGCATTTGGTCGAATTAATTTACGTACTGGAAGTTTTATGGGTCGTTATCCCAATTATTCACATTCGAATTATCACTTAATGAATTATGCCCAAAATGGGCAGCATAGGCAATATTTATTGAGTGGTAACGATAATAGTAGTAGTATACAAGAACAACAACAGCAACGTCAAGACGATCAACAAAACCTTTCAGATTACAGACCACTTTATTTATCTGTCCAACCGCATACAACATCACCATCTGGGAATACAACCCGATCAGCACCATCACCGAGTCTTTCATCAATCATATCAACACAAGGTATTCCAGGTTATAATGAATATTGTCAACAACAGCAAATTGTATATTTTCGTCCTCAGAGTAAATCGATCAATTTGAAAGCGTCATCATCCTCTTCCGTGACAATGAAACGTTCACCAAGAGTGAATTCTATGCATAATCCACAATTGTTGCATACAATAGATAATCCAGATGATCAATACTCAATACCTATAACACATCCTCATGAAATGTTATTATTATCTTCTTCATCATCTCCGTCTTGTGTAAGTCCGCATCCAGAATTGGATCCAATTTTAGAACGCCTGTTACTGGATGTAACAAGTATTGATGAATATAGAACAGCATTACATAGAAATGGTGAGTGAGAGATTGAGAGGTACTGATGGTGATTAATATTTATGGCAAGACTATAATTTATGGACGAACCAATCATACATAAGATGACGGGTCTTGGATTTTGGTGCGAATTTCGTTTGTCCATTTGGCTAAATAGCGTTCCGGCATTTAAGCTTATGTCGTGATGAAAACCTTAAATGTGATTCCTAGTCCCAACCATCAACTGTAAATAAGAATTTTAATTCTTCACACTGGCTTATAACCCCTCATTTAGTCCTAGTTAGTAAATGATCATTCTCAAGGTCACTTTAGAGTTTCTCAAAAGTGGTCCATATTTATTGGTGGTTGATTCAGTGTTTATTTGTACTTGTGTGTGTGTGTGTGTGTAGAGGAATGGCTTTTCATATCTTCTATTATACTAAGTTAATGAGTGTTTCATAAATATTTGTACTATCTAACAAAAACCCTTCATTAGTATAACAGGTTTTTGGAAACTTGATTTTTATTATTTTGCACAACTGATAAACTTAGCGATCTTTTGTCTAATTTAAAGAGCTAATTACCAGATCTTTAGCGAGAAGCTATGATTGGTGGAGAGTTCAACCACATCGGAAGTTAAGCAGTTAATCACCATTGTTACAGGAAAATGATTATGCCGTATTGAAAATTGACTGAAGTGTAAAACGTTAACCATTAGATGCCGATTCAGAGGTCTGAACGTTAAGCACTTACTGATGAGAACTGAAAATTCCGGGTTCGATCTTTGATGGTGTGGATGTCCATCATCACTTAGCAGTCCCATAACGAAATGAAACAACTATCTAGTGTTTCCTGGTTGTCAATGGCTGTCTAACTAAAGTCAGTACATGATGCAAACTTTATTAGTTCATAATCTCCGAAAAAGCCTTCATATTTATATATCCATCTTTTATACACTATATGTTTTCAATTACTCTCACAGATTCAGTTACTCCGCCATTATCGACTAGTCGACAGCGTACTATCAATCGTATACATACTCCGTTAGGATCAAGTGATCCTGAATCAATTTCACGATCAGCTGATCATATAACCAATGTGAATTTATCAAATAAACAATTAAATATTTTACATGATAATATATGGGATTTAAATAAACAAATTAATGATTTAATACAAATGGAATTTAATTATAAACAGAAACAACCAACCATTAATAATAAATCACAGTTATCACCATTTGATAATTTGAAAATAGGTAGTTCAACAGTTGGACCTAGACGTTCAGCTCCAAAGTAAGCTGATCTGTATTAATTTTAACCTTTTTTATATGTTCACATCAATTACAAGCGTTTGATGATAGAACTCGCTTGGGATTACCTTGTTTTATCATAAGACTAATGATCTATTGTTTAACTAATGATATTAATGACATAAACAATAATTGGAAAGTCTTGATGCCTATTGGTTCGTTTGATTCCCTCTATCGTTAGTGGCCAATTATAATACGAAAATACCAGACAGATTTAACTTCTGATATTGTGTTATCTTTTCAACTTGTAAAGCTCACATGATTATATGCATCAATTATATGACTACAACACATCACAAACAAACTTGTGTCAGAAGTGTCAGATTCACTAAAATAACGCTTGAATTTACCTGAAGTTTGCTTCAATCAGACGACTGTCATGGTTACTCGATAATAGTTATATATAAGTAGATATAAATAATATATGTGGTTCTACAATAAGTGATAGTCAGTTAAATTTCAGCTTACATTCAAGTTGATGAAACAATAACAACAGTCATTCCTAAAGCAGTTAAACATAAAAAATGACAAGTTCAAAATGACTTTCCAAGCAAACTACTTTTCAACCAATAAGTACGTATAATAGTTGAATTCATTAGTCGATTTAAGCTAGACCACCATAGCCAGCTTGTTAATTTAACCAATGGATGAACACTGACTACATCAGTAATATAGTCATAAAACAAGAATTTCTCAATAATAACTGATAACTGGTTTCTTGATGCAGTGGTTGAATTAGTATATGGTAGCAACTGTTTGACAGTACTCGTTTCTTGAAACCCTATCATGTTTAAAATACGTCGGTATAGAAGAAGGTAAGAATCGCCAGAGGTAATTGGATTAAAGAGGTATTACTTTCATTTGTACACTGAGCATTTATCTTGTATACTTCGTGTTAATAAAAAACTAGAACACATTTGCGATGGAGACTGTTAACGATTCGTAAACATAGGAGTCGAAATACGAGTCATTATGGAATATTATATTTCATATACTCATGATTATAGTAGACTAATTATATAAGTTATGGAGGTTGAAAGAAGAGTAAATGAATGAGTGATTGGATGAATTGTAAAATGAACTCACACATAAGTGGTCGAAAGAACTAACATACTACTGACTTTCTATAGGAAAGAGATATTTACATCGACTGATCACTGTATAGAGTTAGTGCTGAGTGAGTTTTATCAATCAAGCTGTAGTACACCCGTTAATCTAAGCTTCTCGACATCGTATGCATTATGTTTCGGTATTAGGTAGGAGATGTGAATTGTTCTTCAATCCTGTCCCTAATTGCTTGATTTCTTTATTTATTATTAGCTTTATTCAATATTAGATTTTTGGCACAATGTAGAATCCTCAGCACAAATTATTTCAGCGAGTTTCCGTTTCTTATTTCTTGATCGATATTGACGATAAATGTTGAATGATCTCCAGTTAGATGTTAGGATTTCAAAAGTCGAGATTTAAAAAATATTCATTATTTACAGTGCCAGCCATCACAATGTCTCTGATTATATGTTTTTGCAACTTGTACAACGAAAGGTCGTGAACTTTTCACAAACTCACCTGAATAGATTATGCAGTTAATTGACATAATGATCTGTTAAAACAAACAAGGAAACAGATAACTTGTTTAAATATTTAGATGGTAGGAACAGGTAGCCCAGATATTCAAGTAGGCTGCCATCATCTGAGTTCAAACTACTGAGATCAAACACGATGGTTCGAAGTGCTACCCAAACAGTTTACCGATAAGGATCCAGACAGAGAACCTTGAGCATAGAAACCTGAATACCCCTAGGAAACACCCACTCTCAAAAGATTTCAGCAACGTCTTGTTTGTGTGTGTTGAACGGCACAAAATTCAGATTCAGAGTTTTTTTACCGACTACTTCCAACTACATAGCATCTTTAGTGGTAAAATTTAATCACCACTAAAAGACTAGACATACATGACATTGAGTACAAATCAATGGTCGACGAATGTATTCCAATTTCTGCTTTTACGACATAAATGTTCGGCATCCAATTTCAAATTGTAAATCCGATAAATGTTAATTGTTAAGCATGAAATAAAGTTATTTATTACCTTAAAGGAATAAATTGGATAGCATTTATATCTGGCCTGGAAGAATTCATGTTATTTGCTATTTTTCAGCTCGAAAACCCTTTTTTCTTTAAATTAGTTACGCGATTATATAAGGTTGGTCATTGATGACAGCATTTTCAAGCACAGTTGAACATCAGATAGTAGTAAAATCCAGGTTGCGTTTTGTCCCACATGGTACACCTCCGGAATTCTACTTCTAACTTCTGTTCAACTATGTTTGAAAGTACTTGTGGATTAATGACGATATAGAGGCAACCCAGAACAGGATAGAATTATGCCAAAAAAGGTTGATCAATCACAGTCTTTAACAACAGGAAGATTCAAATGAGTAAAAATGAACTATTGGCGTCAGTAGTTTTGAGATTAATATTTTAATACTACTAATAAGTAGTTAAAAAAGTCTCATTTAAAAGTTTATCATATTTTTTTCTCAACAGTGTTCAAGTTGAAGAAGACGCTAAAACTGAAGCTGACAGTCAATCAACTAAACAACAACAGCAAACAGACGAAGCATCCCCTACCACTGGCACAAAACCTGGAAAATATACATCATTTAGAAAACATCCATTCCGTTGGTCAAGTCGGACAAGATCATCATCACATAAAAAAATGATTCTAACACATACACAATCATCTGTTGGACGAAGTGATCAGCATATTAATAAGGATGATCATACAGTTCATTTATCTACGAGTTCTTTACAAGCTACACCAACCAAATCAATAAATAATACAGGAAGTAATAAATCTACTAAAAATTATCCAATTAATAACTGTGATGATAATAATAATAATAATACGTCAATTAGTTATAATCAGCTGAATAGTGAACAACATTCAACAGTAATATCTAGTCGAATGAATACATTGAATTCAAGTAGTAATTTATTAGATACGAAAAAAGATGATTATGTAACATTTTGGTCGTTATCAGTTGGACAGTTAACAATATTAAGAAAATTTGCTCTTATACAATTAGCTAGTATTGCTGATAAACATTGTTCCATAAATCGATCCCCATTTAGTTGGTAAGTTGAGATGATATAACTTTGTTTAAAATAGTCATTTTTTTAGTTCATTGTTAGTTGCATAATGTTTAGGTTAGATGAAATTTTGATGATTATAAATCTGCATCTACTGAGACGGTTGAGATATGGTTGACGTATGCCTAAACACTGAATATTTCAATGGGTTCTGTTAAATATTGTGGGAGTTGAAAGAAGGTTTGTAGTAACGAAAGTAAAATGTGGTATCAGCATCTAAATTCACTAACTGTTGATCTGAGCCATTTAGGTAGATTGAACCTACTTGGTCGGAGTCGGCATGATAACCAATATCAGTCGTTGGAAATCATTTATGACATGACTCATAGATGTTTACATTGGTACTGATGTATTCATTGTTTATCTTCCTCTAGATCTCCAACTCCAATATTCCTTTTTGGATATCTTTTCTCTTTGTCTTTTCGTAACAACGTTTAGTTTTTTTCCCATTATCATCGTTATTACATTATCCCAACAACTTTTACTACTCATCTTGTTAATTTCACGTCTATGGGGTATGGAAACTTGGGCTAATGAGTATTTGTACCAGACCCGATGTTCATTATGATTGTATGACTGACTGATTTATTTTACATGTATACTAATTACTGTAAATGGTTTGTATATTTACTGTTGTTGACATTCAAGAATGATAGTAATAGATCTTTGTTGATGTATATGATCCTGGAATTCCGTTTACAAGTGATATTCTAGGATTACAGAATCTAAATGTTTTGAAATGGGATATTAGTGAATCAGTACCGATCCCCAATCTTCCTATCCACGAGCCCCATCTGCTACTCAAGTGCGAATAGTGAAAGTGAGAAAGGCATTTAGTGGCCACTCACGTTCACTTATTATTAGACGGATTTCTGGTTAAGCTAATGTAGCACTAAGACTCAGATGTAGTCCTATTATTTTTTTATCGACATACACTTTTACATTAATTTTCCTGTCGAAATTTGAACCTGATACTTACCAATTTGGGATGCAGCGGTTATCTATTACGGTACTGTGTAATGTTAGATGCCAGTAATATGTCAGATACTAAAGTGCTTGACAGTGAAATTCTAGCTGCTTTCTAATCATCTTCTTAGAAATATCTTACAATCAAGCCCGAGATAGAAGACAAAATACGAGAAGTTTGAAAATAAGCTTTACTTCCAAGGCTACTTTCGTCGCATAAAATAAGGATATTTATAGATAAATATGTGGCCTTTATATTGCAAATAGTTTTTGGAAACAGGTTACATTTAATAAACAAATTAGTAACTTTTTAATGGTGGGGATCATGAGTCAATTGAAGTTAGACCACCATGGAAAACCTGGAAGCACTGGCTTCAAGAGGTATTTCCTAGAGTTCTAGTGAGAAGCCGTGTCCAGTGGAGTTCAACCACGTCTGTTGTACGATAGTAACTCACTGATGATAATGGTAGATGTGTCACTCAATTTCGTGCATTAGTTGAAGTCAGACATTAACGCCAATGGATGACGACAGGCTCAGTGGTCTAAATGTTGAGCGTTAGCGCGAGAGACCGATAGGTCCTGGATTCGGATTTCGCTGGGAGGGATCGTGGATGCACACTGCTGAAGAGTTCCGCAATAGGACGAGATCGCCGTCCAGTGCTTTCGGGTTTTCCATGGTGGCCTAGCTTCAATTGACTCATGATCTCAACCATTGAAATTACTATAATATCCGCAAAAACCCCTTCTGATATGAAATCAGTAACTATCTGGTCTATATATAACACATAATCCATCGTTTTCATAGAACTCTCTCTATTGAAAGCTGATTAGACAAATTACTTCTACCTCTTGTCTATAAATGAAATTCGATACTGTTAGCTTGATCATCAGAGTAAGGTAATGGAAACCAGCATTAAATGCTTATGTTTATTTGTTAATGTATCAATGGAAATTCCAACAATTGAAATCAATATGTTTCGATGTTTCACATGGTAGTCTATTTCACAGAGATCTGCATAAAGAGAACTAAAGAAAATTCATATCAATTGTTTAACCTCTTACTTCACATTTTTAGGCGTTTTATGAAATATAGAGCACTTCTAACTTCTGGTGATTCAAATTTGCTATCCAACTCAAGTACATCTCCATTATCCGATAAGAAACCATTTTCTAGTATAAATAATGAAATGTTTGTGAATAATCTAAATTCAAATGAACCAAATAGTCTTTCTCATCAGCATCAGACACAACCACCAGGTTGTGAACGTATACCTCAATTACCTATTCGTTGTATATCCTATACTGGACCAGTGTTTGGCCAATCATTATCAAGTTGGCAACGTCGTTTAGGTTATCCTCTTCCACCAGCTATTTTGCATATGATGGATCATTTAGAATTAAATGGTACTACAGCTCATGGACTGTTTCGACGTCCAGGCGGTAAATCCAGAATAATAGCATTGAGAGAAGAGATTGAACGTGACATAAGTAAGTCTGTTCTCTTTTGAATATTCATCTTAACTACTTATGCCTTTTAAGTAGTTACTTCCATATTGTTAATGTGATTGATCAGTCACTCCATAAATGTTGAAAACTGAAATTCTATCACGCTTATTACTGTGGTTTATGAGATTTGGACAGAAGTGGGGTTTCGCATAATTCAATGGTTGGCTTACTAAAATATGATTGGTCTGGATACTAGTGTTTTGTCTATCAACGTCAGTATGTGTTCGACTTCACATTCAGTCACATAAATCCGATGTTTGACAGTTTTAAGCAATCAATGGAAACCGTGGACCTAGATTGTTTTGTTTATTTTCTCCAGTCAGCATATTTAAATATTCAGTATTCCTCACGTTTTTCATATCGGAATCATTTAGTCCCACAGTGCAGGACGTTACTATTGTGTTATTCAGGTAGCGATTAGTCTTCTGAGGACTGAAATATTTACGCTGATTAATCACCAATGCCGTATTATCTAATAATTAGTGTTGATCGAATACTATGGGAACAACTAAATCCCTAATATCTCTAGGAAGAAATTTTGTAGACATTAGTATGATTTATAGATTGTATTCAGTTGACCCCAGTCGGTGTACCTTTGAAATTATGGGAGGACTGGACTACTAAGTCATCCAACAATGAGACCCCTAGCAACAATATAAACCTAAAACTCACCAAGATCGTTCTTTAATAATAGGTATTAGGTTAAAGCCACAGTGTGATTATCAATTTCATTGAAACTCATGCTTCTTTATTGGATACATTTATTCCTTATTTTTTCCTATACAATTTCAAGACTGGAGTAAATTCAGTGATTGGCAACCATATGATATAGCAGACTTATTGAAACAATTCTTTCGTGAATTACCAGAATGTTTATTTACCAGTAAATTAGCTACAGTGCTTGTCAATGTTTATATATGTGAGTTAATTATATTTTTTTGTACTTTTAAAACAATGATATGAATATAATTGTTCAGTATAGGGTTATGGAGATTGCCAAGTTTTAATTTAGATCATGAACCGATCAATGTCAGACCACCATTGAAGACCTGGAAGTACTGGCTGGCCGTTTCGTCGTATTATGGGACTCCACAGCAGTGCGTGTTCACGATCCCACACTTGGGATTCGAACACAGAACCTGGTTCATTATCCCAATGAAATGTAATTTCCAAGCGAAGGATTTTGAAAGCGATTAGTTTCATTATTGCCATAGATTGATATCAGTTATGCAAAATGTTATTGAAAACTAGCAGTCATTCAACAGTTGTTTCTCCATAGAATAAGTGGATGACATAGTTCTGATTGGTTAAGAAGGTACTACAATAAAGAGTCTTCTGACAGCCTCGTTAATAATATAAACATCTTGACGATGAAATCTGCACTATCTAAGTGCGAAATTTCGCTTCATGACTGAGGTATATCAATATCTAAACTGATGATGGAGAGTGAAGTGTATGAATGTATCGACCACTTCACTGGTTTCGGAAGTCCCACCAGTATTGGCGGGTTGATTTCTGTCCGAATTTCAGTATGGATTTAGAAAACTCAGTTGGCATTCGTTGATCTGTGGCTTGAGCGAGATGAACCAGAGGACGACCACACTGTCCAGCACTTCGTTGTTTCCAACCTGTGGCTGTGAAACATGACTTTTGAAAATAGAGGACCTCGAGGGTTAGTAGTACTTAATCATATATGTCTTTGAAACAACATTTAAAGTGCCGACACCACTAATTCAGCAGTGCTGAGGTCAGACTCAGAGTACTAGGTCAAGATGACAAATCATTTGATGATATAGGAAATCTTCACCTATGATTGATGAGATACTCATTACACATATCTTAACATCACCTATCTCAACTTGCAATGTTAGCTGGAGTAAAAATATGTTTAAGGAAATTTAAGGTTGGCCAAACCAAAACGTGACATAAGTACACGAAATCACTGACGGTCGATCTGAGATATTTTGGTAAGTTCAGACAATGTGGTTGAAGTTTTCACTGTTATGTTTGGTCGTCGCTAATTGTTATGTTTGAATTGCTTATTACTTACACATGGAACCACTGCGATTCTCACGACGCGACGTAAAAACACCAAGACGGGTACAAGTGAAGATTTATTAACTTCAAAACACAACGACAACCCTAGTCGAAAATACATTCATTTGTATATTGGTTGTACAGCTATTCTGAATATTAATAAGGATGAGATGACATATATATGAAAGATGCCCATAGTTATAACAAATCACATCCTGCATGTTATGCTGAGCATAGTTCAGGTTAATTTAATACAAGAGTATCGTATCTTGGATAAACATCACACTCAAATATATCAGTGTTATACCGAATAAAGTATCATACTGGGAAACATAACAAATATTATATGGAGTTACAAACAGAAGTAATGTTGAACATAAATCACAATGACTTAAAGTTGCAATTTCGTTTCTTCATCCAGTTATGGCATTCACCATAATCGTAACCAGAAGTCAAAGATGTTAAGAGACACGACTCAGAATCTTCCACAATGGCAATGGTGGATTTACTTACTTGTTTCACTTAGGTCTTGAGTTTCAAAATTATATTTACTCCACGAGTTCATTCATTTGTATTTCAGCCCAAACTCCTTCACTGTGTACAAACATATACTCATTAGCAACTGAATTGATAATCTTTAAGTCTTGAGGCAAGTAATACTTCTTTAAACCATTAATTCGATAACTAACGGTCAACATTTATAACTTTGATCAGTCGGCAATATAATCTGATCATAACTCAATAGCGTCGATGATAGTTGTCTTATTTTCGACGTGGTTGTACTCCGTTGATGATGGATTCTAATTAGAACTTGAAGAACTGCAAACTGCTGAACAACGAACATAAGGTTATTGTTAACGTATTTTTGTACATCATTAATTTAATAGTTAGAAATGTATACCACTAGTTGTCTAATTATATAATGCTTACTGTGTTATCCTAAGCTTTTAGGCCCGATCCCCTATAGGGTCACGAGTTCCCATTATCAAGGAGTCATCCTAAATTATATTTATTCCCAGTGGCCTTGTATTTCAAGTCAGTTCATTACAAAAGAATATCTTAAAAATTATATCCCATTGTTGACATTGAGGATGGAATATTGATCAGTTTTTTTTTAGTATATATGTATCCTATCCAAATTCCTTCAACATACTCGCTACACAAATTAACAATGATCTAGACTCGGCAGCTTAGTAGATCATGTTTTTGGGGGCATTTAAAGTGAAAGGTATTAGCTCAGAGTTCAAATGTGAATACCAACACTTTAGGGTTCAGATACATCCAGATGACAAATCCTTACAATGAAATACTCATCCTTGATTCCCTTGATAGTCATAATCTATTTTGCTTTATTTCTTGGGAACTGTATAATCACTTTCCCTATCTTTTCTCCTGATTTTCAAAATAAATTTATATTCTGTGTTCTGTCTTTACATTGTTACTATTTGTATTTCTTTCATTCTTGTATATATGTGTCTAACACACATTATCATTATAATGTACATATATTTATTCCTCATTAATATTTGTAAATTAGGTGTTCCAAATTCAGTACAAATTGATTTACTCCGTTGGATATTAATTAGTTTACCAGATGAAAATCGTCTTGTTCTACAAAAATTATTATATTTACTCAATCATTTATCACGTCATAGTGATGTAACTGAAGTGAGTGACAGTTGTTCAAATATATTTACTTCTTTTTGATTGCTAATATATTCTTATCTGTCCAATTTTTTTTTCTTTACAGTTTTACACTATGAATTGACTGTAGTTAGATAACCAGTTGGAACTATGAAGTATTGGATAGATGTTTCACTCTGTTATCGGGCTCCTTAGAGGATGTACTTATCTATAGCCCTACCAAGGATCGAACCCGGGACCTTCAGGCCTAGAGTCGAATGTCTAGCCTTGAAGTCACTGGGTTGGTATCAGGTGGTTAAAGTTCAATTCTTGGTAGGTTCATGCGTGTGCTCTACTGAGCAATTAAATACTAGGAAGAAATAGCTTTCAAATAATTCCTGGTTTTTAATGGTTATCTAACCTAGGTCAGTTCGTTATGTAAACTACAGAATTTCAAAATCTCTACAAATATCTTACACTAATCAATTGTTGTTAATTTTTATTTCAGATGAGTGCTAGTAATTTAGCTGTTTGTTTTGCACCATCCTTATATCGATTAATTAAGCCATCATCTTTATCTACTCAAGGTGTAAGTCTTAGTCCAAGACGTTTAAGACGAACAACTAGTGGACCAGATCCCAAAGATTTAGCTGATCAACATGCTGCACAATTAAGTTTAAGTGCTATGATTACGTTGGCACCAAACTTATTTCAAGTGAGTAACAATGTGTGTATTTCTATGCATGTATGTATGTGTTTGTTGTGTGTGATCTGTATTAATAATCGCTGAATATTTAAAGGAAACCGTTAGAATGCCTTGAAAGTAGGTACCATTTTGAAGTGGATAAAGTAGTGGAACCAGGGCTTGGTACCTTCTGTGAGATATTTGTCGCTTTCCCAACACACTTGGATCCAGAGATCCGCTAAAGTAAGGAAATATTCTTCGCTTCTTAAGATCCTTATTTATGAAAAAACCTAAACAATGTGTAATGGTATAAATACAGTTCAGTGGTAACGTCTTACACTGTGAAGCTAAGTGAAACGGGATCGAGTTCACCAGAAACCAACATTTCCCTCAAGATTATGGGTAAACCTAGTTCATGAGTGCTAATTGATACGAAGCCTATATATATATACAATAATTTTCTTCAGTTAAAATGACTCACACATTGACAAACTCAGAAATGACTGTCGGTCAACAACACAAACAGGTACAAAAATAATCACTTCAACACATCTAGACAGACAAAACGTGTCAGTCAATAAGTGACTTCCTATACTGATCAGTTAAGAAAATAGTTCGTTTACAACCAATCAGTAAAATATTAGAAGACTAATTATACATTGAAAAAACTTGTTACTCATGAGTAGTACAATTTCAATCCACAACTATTACGTTTGTTTTTATTATTTTTATTACCACTAATACCATATAGATCTCCTGCTCTTTATTAGATCATTCAACTCTTCTGACTAGTTTAACTCCGTTAGCACAAGATTTAGAGTCACTAATACCAAATGGTGATTGGCCTCAATGGATACAAAATTCATTAACTGATCTTATACGTGAATGTTCTTCATCAAAATCTAAAGGATGGAACACGATTAATCGTGATGTTATGAAGCATTACAATGCTGAGTAAGTTTAAGTAGTTTGGGAAGTATTATGTTCTTTTACTGTCTAGTATTCCCCAGCAAAAAATAATTGAGAGCGAACAGTATGTATTCTGATATTAGAGATTATATAAAATTTACATACGAACCTTTCAGTAACTTCTTGATTCGCAAATTAGAACCAACTGGTTAAAAAATGGACCAACCAGTGCATTCTGATTTGAGCCTTCCAACGAATTCAGTATTCAAGACGATTCCGCTAACACAATGCATGTAGAGATGGCTGGACTTTGTGGTTTAATACGAAGAAATAACCCTGGTCAGACAACTACTGGAAATTAGAAAGCATTGAATAACTGTTTCGTCCTGACCTTGAACTGTTTGGTTGAAGTGGGGATTCATTTACAACACTAGGAATCGAACTTCGGACTTTTCAGTCCTGTTTCGAGTTCATAACCTTCAGACAACTGATCTGACATCTAATAATTTATATCTCTTAACTTCAATCAATTTTTAGAGTTCTAATGGCAAGAAGGAACAATAAAAGAGTATATGAGATAGAAAATAAGTATTAGGATCGAGTGCAAATGAAATGCACAGAGTTTAAACTTGAATCGAGTGTTTCCTAATCCTCTGCAGTGCGGAAGTTTACATCGTCATTGAGCTAATTCCTTTAACCGTATGGATGACTTTGAAGAATAATTATTGTGGGGTAACGTGACTATAAAAATTGAACTATCGGTTGACTTGCTTACCGTTTTGACAGTTAGGAAAATTATTGCATGGAGACGCGTTTTGAAGAGGCTTGGTTTATTGAACTGATATGGCCGGTTTCAAGACAGCAAATAAACATGTATTTATTCATTAGTGTGACTCAAAGTGGAATCTCGCCCCTGGCACACCCATGAATCAAAGTTCACCTGATGAAAACGATACAAAGTTTAGCATTAAAGAGTGTTTTTGTCAATCGCTTTGAAATCTTTTTTAAAGATATCTATCAAGTTATTTCTCTTAAAATTAATCTCCTTGAAAAGAGTTTTCTAGAACCCTCCAGATACTATTTCATGTTGTTCGTTTTGTCATTAATTTCCTATTGAGGAACCCTTAGAGGATATTCATTGTTGGTAAGTATCTAATCTGGGTTTTTCCAGTTCACATAACGACCACACAAAATAATCCATTGATTAATCAAGTTCATAAATAAATATCACCATCTAGTTGTGTTATGACGATATGAAAAGTCAAAATTAGATTGATTTACCCATTATGGTTTTTGTTCAACACTGATTTTCTGAGGCATGTGGGTATCATCAACCACAAACGCAAACGCTTCCGGTTGAAGTCACTGACTGAAGATCAGTTCAAAGCCCTTATTCTCATCTGCAGTCTCCAATCGCAAAAGTTCAGTGACATCAGAACACAGTCGTTTAGTCGAATGGACCAAGACCCTAAACTGACTCTTGATAATATTGCGAATGAATATCAACGTCTAATTATTCTTCAGTGCGACACTACGATGGTTCCGATCGCCCTGAAGTACATGTAATCCAACAACCACCAAACCCGGCTAAATCCACCCCAACTATATCTAGTCCATCTCACTCGAATTCACTTCAACAGGCGAAGAAAAATTGCTTCAAACATAGCAAATTGGTTAGTATTAAATATTTCAACATTGAATAACGCTTTATTTCTTCATTTCCTACAGTTTCTATCCCATTCTTTTTCCATATTTGTTGTCAATTAGTTCGGGTGCTAATGAATTATTGGATAATTTTGAAATTCATTACAAAAAAATACCAACTTCAGTTGAGTCGAAAATTACATCAAATTCATTACGTTTATGGCGTTGCTCATTGTATATACCTGAAACTAATCCACGTGTAATATTAAATCGATTTGTTGAAACTAGGTAAGTTTATTTCACTCATTTATTGATTGATCACTTCATTAATTAAACATCTAATTTGTAACTTTTGAAAAATCTTATTAATTCACTTACTGGGCACATATTCGTTTACTTTACTTCGACTTACACATGATTCACACTCACATTTTCTATTGTCCAAACTAAACCTGGGGCATAGTGATTATTAGACGAACTCTTTAACCACTCAGTTATAACCCTATGAAATAGCCAACAGATTAGTAGTTTCACAGGTTGAAATCATGAGTCAATTGAAGCTAGACCACCATGGAAAACCTGGAAACACTGGACGACCGTTTCGTCCTAGTATGGGACTCCTCAGCAGTTCGCATCCACGACCCCGCACACCGCGGGATTCGAACCCAGGACCTACTGGTCTCGCGCGCGAGCACTTAACCACTAGACCACTGAGCCGGCATCCAGCGGTGTTAATGTATAACTTCAACCAATCCACGAGTTGCGCCACCGTACACCATTGCCTTCAGTGAGCTGATATCTCACAACAGTCCTGGGTTCGAATCCCGCGGTGTGCGGGGTCGTGGATGCGCACTGCTGAGGAGTCCCATACTAGGACGAAACGGTCGTCCAGTGCTTCCAGGTTTTCCATGGTGGTCTAGCTTCAATTGACTCATGATTTCAACCAGTGAAATTTCTAAAAATCTCCACAAAACCCATTCAGATTAATAGTTGACAATATTGGAATAAATAATGAAATGTTGATAATACTCGGCTGATGAGTCCTGAATGGGATGAAACACATATTCTGTATTGAATTATTATTAATCATTGATGAAAAACTGTTATGACCTTGACGTCTGGTTTTTCTATCACACGACTTATCTACCAATCCGAGTACGACTTATACGAATCTTCACACTAGGCCAACCAATGACGTCCAACCGGTGTGGGCAGTTTAGCGTCCTTATTGGTCCTATGTCCTACGAGCCCTTCCACTTGAGTCCAGAACAAGATACCAGCTTCCGAATCAGAGCAGATGGTTTATTTCAGACATACCCGGTTTATATATCAATCACACAGACCGCAACGTACCATAAAATAGGAAATAATATTTGTACACAAATAAGCCCAAAAAAGTGGCTGTGAATGTGGGAGGCAGTAGTTAATAAACTGAACATAACTTAAGAACCGTAAATCGTACAATAATAAGTTATAGGTCGAAATAAAGCTTATCATAAAAGGAATATAAATATACATAGTGTAATTGTTGAGTAGTTATACAGTAAGAATATTTATAGAATATTAGTCCATGAATAGTCCTCGGAAGTTACCTGTAATTTAAACTTCACCGGATATAACAAAAACAATAGTCAGTCCGTAGTTCCAAGTAATACATACAGACAATTCTCTCAGGTTGCATATATAATCTAATAGAGATTGATCGATTCCATCTCCTAACATCAACAACAGGGAAATATAAATCCATACAAATATGATGATTACATGATTACATCATTACATATTTTTTTGTAATTTTCGGAAATTGTTTTTTGAAAGTTAGTTATCCATAGGTATATCAGCTGGAGCTTCAGAAATTTCTTCAATAATCCTCTTATTATGATATTAGTTCATGATGAGAACCTGAAACCACCCAAATATCATGCTAATAGACAAGTGTTATTGAGTTTTTTGCAAGATGACAATTATACTAAATGACCTTATTTAAAACCTTATTGCTACTAGATAGTTGTAAAAGGAGTTGAAAGGATTGAGTAAATCTTTTTTATGATCAATTTCCGAAACCCCTTCTGATAATGATCATCCTATGCTCACTAGTGACTGGCTTCAAAATGTATTTCCTGGAGTTCTAGTGAGAAGCAGTGACCGGTGGAGTTCAAATGGGTCTGTTGTGAGATAGTAACTCGCTGAAGATAATGGTGAATGTGTGGCCTAATTTCGTGGGTTATTTGAAGTTAGACATTTACACCACTGAATGCTGATTGACTCAGTGGTCTAGAGGTTAAGCGTTCGCGCGCGAGGCTGATAGGTCTTGGGTTGGAATCTCACGAGGCGGGGTTGTGGATGCGCACCTCTGAAGGGTCCCATAACTGGATGAAACAGCCTTCCAGTGATTCCAGGTTTCTTATTGTGACCTAGCTTCAACTGACTCATAATCTCAACTTTTAAAATTTCCGAAACATCATGTCTTATTTCTATCCTTTTGCACTTTCTCTCTACATATTATTCTTCTTAAACCTAGATCATCATGGGATCCAGAAGTTGTACAAATGACAATAGTTGATCAAATATCTGATTGTGTTGACCTTTGCGAATTACATTTATCTTCAACTTATCCACAACCAAAATGTATATTACAATTATTACGTGGTATACAATATACATTGGATGATGGAAGTTGTGCCATGTTAAGTGAATCAATATGGAATTCTGCATTTTCCAGTACAAACACTACTCATTCTTTAACAACATTATCAACAAGTCAATCGATTAATGTTCTAGGTCATGTGTATGAAGATCATGTCTATATTCGTCCAGATAATAATGGTCGAGGTTGTCGTGTATACTTATTATCTCGAGTTGACGTAAAGTAAGTTGTCTTGTTATATATACATTAAGAAAAAAAATGGAATTCTTAGATTTAATAAATCCATAAAACAACAGTTCTGACTCAACGACTCAATTGAGTCATAACAACTCATATCAGTCAGTCAGTTAATTAGTTATATCTAATGTAGAACCTGGCACATATATGCATCGATTCAAATTGCCCCACCATTTAGGCATAACAAGATGAAATTATCAAGACAGAGTATTACAAGTTATTATCTGGGCAACGTTAATCGATATCATTTGCGAAATTCACCATTCAGAATTCCGATTATAATTTTTCTACTTCACTTTTCTAGCATCCTTAGCTTTAACCAATGATACATTCTGACCGATACAACTATTCGTGATCGGATATAAACTTTGCTCCTATCGGTCAGTAGGTCAGTCAGTTACAATATAGGACCAGGCACATACATGAATTGGTCTAAGTTGCCACACCTCATTATCACAGTGAGATGAACACCGGATTCGTAGAAGCAGTTAACTCAATGGTGTAATATATAAAGGAAAGATTTTATGTAAGGATATAGTACAGAAATCCTATTGGTTCAGTGATACGCATGCCATCTCCTATTCTCAACCTTGGGTTTCAAAGTGAAAACTCCAGCTAAGCTTCGATTATTATTTATTGTAAGCAAACTAGTAGAAATAATGACAATATTAGTGGTTATAGGAAAAAAATTGATGTCAACAAAATGGTTATTCAACAAGAACAAATGATATCATAGAATAAAACAAAACGCCAAGTTTTCTTTTCTTAGTAAGGAAAGGTAATACTCTGAGTTAATCAGATACAAGCCAAGCAAGAGATTTTGGTAGGCTCGTACTCTTGGTTTCCTTACTCGAGTATCCGGTTTTGGCATATATTTAGGAAGCTTATAACTAGGACAACCGTTCAACATAATAAATAAATACCTAAGTCTCTCAAACCTAAAAGGTTATAATCTATTTCAAAGTTGAGTACCGCATTGAAATTATGGTTAAATAGAAAAATCATCCTCTAGATCCTTCAGAATAGCTTAGCTGAAGTCAATTAGTTACTAAACTGTTTAAGTTTTTTTCAGAACATACACGTTAATAGTTATACAACTCATAATAAATAGTTCAATTTATAGGTCTGTATTTAAGTTGATTTAGAATTGATTGGGTAATGATCAATTTCATGTTTGTTTACTGATAGATTTTTATCGAACTAGTTGTAATGTAGCCACTAGTCTAAATAATTCAACTTTTCGTATACCATATTGAAATGTTAAATTATCAGGGGTAGTTGGTAAGAATCCCTGAAGATACATTTCATACTAGTTGGGACTCGTCAACAAAGCAAATCTGTAGTCTTGTGGGAGCTAGTACTCCCTATGTGACTCGGGTCTTATTCACTCTCTTTCTAATTCTGATATGTTACCACTGGATTATTCAAGCAACAACTGACACACATTCAAGGTGGTAAAAATCTACGACAACAGCAATAGCTAGCACTTAGCATAGATTAAGTTAAGAATAACCAGTTCAATATTGGTTAGTCAGATAGCATTTACTTCAATCGATAAATTACAAACAATAAAATAGTGCAGTTTGTTATAACTACTCATAAGCTAGGATTCACAAATCTCATATGGCAGATAAGAATCAAACTACAGCTGGTAATGTAAACCATACATGAAAACGCATGATGTACATTTATTGAGAAGTATTATCACAATTTATGTAACATAAATTGGACATTAAGTTTGGAAAATAAGTAAATCATTAATAACAGAATAAAGCATAAAAATGGGGTAGGTTACACAAGAGTTGAAAGAATATGCAATAAAAATTTGGACATAAACCATTATAAACTGATATATTCAGTGATTAGCTTAGACTTATGGAGTATTATTAGTCCTCTATTTCATTCGTGTTCACAAAATTTGTTCATAATTATGATAAGAACAACGTTTATTTCTGTCACCTTGCCTACTGGTACTATCATCAGTAGTATAAAATGTTTACAAAAATAAATGGGGTTTATATGGGATGTTCGCTGTAAATCATTCGATACATAGGTCAGAGCAAATAAAGTAGTCCATGAAACTAGAAAAGGTTTAACCATTACTGTTGATTTTTATCAGTATTATTGGCTTTTAAAACATAATTGTATTACTTATCACTTGATTATCTCTTACAGAGGATATGGACCTGATTGGTATGTGAATCAATGGGGTCATACATTATGTCGACGATTAATCAATTTACGACGATCACTTCAAAAGTCGAAATCACCAATTTTAACTTATGAATTAGAAGATTCAATATCTAGACCTTCCCCACCACCATATTCAACTATAACTGTCAATAATTCAACAACAACAACAACTACTACTACTACTACTGCTATTACTACAAGTACACATATACCAATTTCATCATCAACTACAGATACATCATCAATATCAACTGATATATTAATTAATCGATTTTAAGTGTTATTTTTTTTGTTTGTTTATGAAATGTAAACTAATCATCGAGTCATTTCAAATCAACAGGGAGATCTATTTAGATGAAATATAAAATAAAGCCTATTTGTATATACAATTTTCATGTATTTGTACTTATGAATGTGAAATTACACAAATATTTTTGTTGTTGTTGTTGTTGTTGTTTTTTTGTTCTTTATGAATACTTTCTTCTTTTATTCAGTTCATTTTTTAAAAAAAAATAAATAACTTTGTTTATCCACCCAGATAACTTATATGTATTAGATACCTATGAAAGTTGTTTTAACATTTATATCTTACAAATTGAATACAATATAATAATGTGTGTGTGCTTGTGTGCGTGAATGCGTGCTTGCGTGTGTGTGTGTGTGTAATTCCCAATTTTTTTCTTACCGATTTATTCATGTTTCTGTTTCCTATTTTACAATAGTAACAATATTCAAACTTTTAGTTTCTCTATACACATACACATGTGTACGCACACCCATACACGCACGCACAAATAAACACACACACACACATGGAGACATGGTAGTACTTGTTTTGTAACTATAATGTTTACATTTAATTCAATGAATTTCAATCTCTTCTTTAAGAGGTAATTAGAGTTGAAATCTAGCTCACCTCTATTATTATTATTATTATTATCATCATAACGGTGTATAAATGAAGATGATGAAAATCACAAGAGAACTATTTGAAATGATTATCCCAATTGTGTAACATACTGAAATGAATTCATATGTATATTTATATGTCTTATATATAACAGATTATGTTGTTCTGATTAGAAGATGCTATTCAAAGAAGAAAGTTTATCATATTGTACATAATATAACAAACAATATATAAAATAGAATTCATTTTCTCTCTTTTGAATATATATACTCTTTCCATTAATCTATCTATCTATCTATCTATCTATCTATCTATCTATCTATCTATCTCTCTATCTATCTATCTATCTATCTATCTATCTATCTATCTATCTATCTATCTATCTATCTATCTATCTATCTATCTATCTATCTATCTATCTATCTATCTATCTATCTATCTATCTATCTATCTATCTATCTATCTATCTATCTCTCTCTATCTATCTATCTATCTATCTATCTATCTATCTATCTATCTATCTATCTATCTATCTATCTATCTATCTATCTATCTATCTATCTATCTATCTATCTATCTATCTATCTATCTATCTATCTATCTATCTATCTATCATCTATCTATCTATCTATCTATCTATCTATCTATCTATCTATCTATCTATCTATCTATCTATCTATCTATCTATCTAACTATCTATCTATCTATCTATCTATCTATCTATCTATCTATCTATCTATCTATCTATCTATCTATCTATCTATCTATCTATCTAATTACTTTCGTTTCTTTTTTCTTTGGCTTTCTGTTATTGTGCACCTCCTTTGGTATTATTGATTTTATCGACTTCTTGATTGTATATTGACATAATGTTGAGTTTTATTACGTAATAGATTATTTTTTAAACCTGATATTACACTTTCTCTAATGATAGTTTTTATTTTAATAATCATAGTTAATTTGTATTTATAATGTAGGGGGGGGATTGTTTCTTGGTCCTTGAATGTATAAATCATATAGATAAGTATTAATAGCCTCTCGTTTTCTCGTGTGTGTGCGTGTGTGTGCTTCTTTTGTTTCCTTGATTAACTATATGTGTGTATGTTTTGTTTCCTTATTAATAGAGAAATACACTCAACTCAGTCCAGTTAATTTGCCTATTTTTTTTAATTAATTCCAATCAAGTGTCACTATCATCAGTTTTCTATTATTTTTGTTTCTTTCAATTCATCTACAATCTCATCGTTTTGAAGATTATGTCTTTCTATCTTATTGTTGCTAATATTATTTGTTTACTAAATATATATATATATATATATATATATATATATATATATATATATATACATATATAAACATATTTTTTTCGTTTCATGTTTTCTTTCTTTGTTATTTCGTTTCGTTAGTTTTTTTGACGAAAGTTTAACAAGTGAAGTGGAGCACAGGCCACCGACCAGCATTCTTCAACCCACTCTGTCATGGACATTCCTTTCCAGTTCTATTCAATTGTTATTCATTCTTCTCATATCTGTCTCCATTTCTCGACGTAATGTATTCTTTGGTCTTCTTCTTCTTCCTCTCCGCCTTTGGTTTTGAGGATTCCAAGTGAGGGCTTGACTTGTGACACATGTGGATGCTTTCCTCAATGTGTGTCCTATCCACAACCAACACTTCTTCCTGATTTCTTCCTACACTGGAGTCCGATCTGTTCTCTCACACAGTAGGTTGCTGCTGATAGTGTAGTGTTTGGTCAACGGATCCGGAGTATTTTGCGTAGGCAACTGTTAATGAACACTTATATCTTCTGGATGATGGTTTCCGTAGTTCTCCAGGTTTCCACCTCGTAAAGTAGAACTGTCTTGACATTTGTATTGGAAATTCTGATATTGGTGTTGGTGCGCAGACAGTTGAATTGCAGATGTTTTTCAGTTGTCGATATGCTGCTCTTGCTTTGCCGATCGGCGCCTTCACATCTGCATCAGATCCACTGTGTTCATCGATGATGCTGCCCATATATGTAAATGTTTTTGCATCTTCCAAATCTTCTCTGTCAAGTGTGATTTGATTGGTGCATGCTGTGTTGTATCGGAGAATATTGCTTTTCCTTATGTGTATGTTCAGACTTATTAGTGCTAAGACTGCTGCTACACTGGTCGTCTTCTCCTGAATTTGTTGTTGCGTGTGCGATAGAAGAGCCAGATCATATCTGAATTCTAGATCGTCCAGCTGCATCCTACCTGTCCACTGTATCCCATGCTTCCTCTCAGATGTTGTTGTCTTCATGATCCAGTCGATCACCATGAGAAATAGAAAGGGTGAGAATAAGCAGCCTTGCTTGACACCGGTCTTTACTTCGAACGAGTCTGTCAGTTTTCCTATTTCATTCATCAGTTATTTATTAATACTCGATCATCTCATACTTGGTACAGTTGAACTCTACTCCTCACTAGAACTTTGGTGATTACCTCTTGAAATTAATTTAATTATATCAGGCGTGAGGCAGTTAGTTACCTATCGAAGACAATAAATTACGATTTGGCAATATCACGAATTAATTGAAGTTTGACAAGTAAGCCATTGGATATTGACTGATTAGTTTAAAGGTTAATCGTTTGCCTCTAGACTATGAGGTCTTGAGTCCGACCCTTGATGGAATCTTGGATACACAGCTAAGAAGTCTCATACTATCTAGAAATATCTGTCCAGTGCTTTATGATCTTCAATGACTGTCTGACTTAGGCCAGTTCGTGATTTCAGTGATACTCCATAATTGACTAATTTGTCTATATTATTATTACTGCTATCATAATTATAAACTGAATGGGACCTTAGACGAAGTGAAAGATTCTAACCATACTATATGAATAAACATACATTATGTCTATACTTATGCAAGTCTGCTTTTTCTGTTACAGTATATCTGTATGTAAGTATACGTATGTGCACTGAATGGTGTAATTTGAAATTCGGTAAACCTTCAAAAAACTATTGTACCATATAACTGTAGGCATTAATACACTGAGAGATGGGATATCAAAAACATATTTTTTATTTTGAAACAGCTTACGATTATTTTGAATTGTGTACAGTCGGAAGATGATTCCTAATATGAGCTGGATCTATGCATCCTAGAAAGCTCAACGCATATTCTTGACAACACTTCAATATTAATCTTTTATACAAGTGAAAATAAAAGCAATGAATCCAGGAAGAGCATGACATTTCAAGGACTCAGAGTTGTAGTGTAACAACTTGATCTACATAGTGACAGCTATAGCTTTAGGGCATATAACAAAAGCAGCAAAATGAAAGCATGACTAATCAGTTAGATAATAGAAAGAACTAGTGGGGTAATATAGGTTCAAGAAAATTCACCGAGGTCTTTTATTCTCATCAGAACTATAATTTAATATCGTTTAGGACTTCGGGGTGATTGAATGCCGTCGTTCAAATTGAAATATGGTTACTAATCCTAGTGATTTTACATCACACTGTATTTTGTTTTGTGACAGATTGTGGTTTCAAATATTTAACACAACGTCCTACTGAAAAGATTTCATACTATTTGAGTACTTGTAATCCTGAATGGAATGATCCGCTACTTTATACTCTACACAATTTCATCAGTTAAAAATGTTACAGTTTAGTTACTCGGTTTACAGCTAAGTGCTTCATCGTAGATTTCAAATCGTTCCACTATGTGTACCATAGTTAGAACAGTAGATAATACAACAACCGTCGTTACTCTCCAGTGATCTTACAAGCATTAGCTGATAACAGCTCTGTATTCTACAGGTATCAGTTTAGGATCTAATCGGCTAACAAACTCATTTTATTTTAAAAAACAAAACAAAATCCAAATTATGTTAAGCTTTTTAGTTCTAGTTTTCAATCATCAAAGAAGCTAACACCATTAATTTATTTCTATATTTCCAACCATGTTGATTGTGAGATAGAAATAGTTCACAGCATTAGATGACCGTTATGCAGTATTATCATTTGACTGGAATTAATATCATAAACAAGTGAATTTTAATTTGATATCTGAATAGTGTCACATTTATCTCAACAATTGACAGTCCTGAAGCTGTAATTGGAAATATCTGAATAGTTATGTAATAATATAAAACAGGAAACTGTTCAATGTTTCCTAAGTTCTCAATGCTTCTCCTACTGATGTCAACTTATGATTTTTTGTAACAAATTATAGTTACTTTGATATCATATTGTGATCAGTAATGAAATCTCCGATGATGGGGAGTTCCATACTAGGACGAAACGGACGTCCAGTGCTTCGAGGTTTTCCATGGTAGCCCAGCTTTAACTGACACATGAATTCAACTATTGAATTAGTTTAATTTTTATTCTGGTCTCCATACCAGTGCTCATTGATGATCGCATCAAGTTCTTTCGGTCACTCAAAGATCAAGATACCGAAACATTTAGTTTAAGGAATTCGGTAGAGATCGTTTTTACTTGAAAGATGTATTCATCATAGATTTATCTCATTTGAAGTATCATGTCATGAGTGAAACGGTTTTCACTGATAGCATCACCACACAAGTCGACTGAAGCTGATATTATAACATTGAAC